CCCCGACCCGCCCGAGCGGGATAAGTTTGTTTCACATCGCGGCGGAAGGAGGATGAGGACTGGGGGAGCAGGGAGAGGGAGAACGGGTGATCCCGACGCAAAAACTTTTGGGGAGGTGTAGAGCGAAGAGGCACGGGGAAGTCCCACCCCAACCCGCTGCGCAGTTCCAGCAGCATCAGCATCCCTCCCCTCCTCCCTTCCACGAGACAATCGAGGTCAAAGGTTGTATAATATTGACTGCCGCGCTACACTGGTATTTGCCTAGGCCCCGGTTGCCTCCCCGTTGACCCTCTGGTATGCACGGCCCACAGCCCCAGCCTGACCCGCGGCCCAAGCGTCGAGCTATGGAGCACAACAGATTTGCCTTTGGCTTAACACTCTGGCGACAAGATCTCCATTTTAAACAAACCGCGGCCTCTGGTTTTCGTCGGGTCGGGTCGGGTCGGCTGCACCGGCTCCGTCCGCAGCGTTCGACCAAGCTTTACTGAAGGTGAGGGGGTACCTACTTGCTGGGTATGGGTGACGGCGCCGTTGTCTGTAGACTGCCCTCCGGTGTAACACTGCGAGCGAAAACAAAACATAGTGACAAGCAGAAACAAACAGAACAAGCAGCTAATAATAAATAATTATAACAACAACAAATAATAATAATAATAATAATAATAATAATATGGCATAACAAATGCTCCCCGCAAACTCCCACATTCTCATTTCGACGTGTGAGGTCATTCCGGTCAGACCAGTGCAAAAGTCTACGACACACGATGCCGACTAGGGGATGGGAAGGCAAAGACCATAACTTAACGCTAAGTACGGTTTAGGTCGACGTGCGCGTGTTGCGAGAGGGTGGCGCGTATGGGGACCGTGGGGACGGCGTATTAGAGGGTACCGTGGGGGTTGGGCGGGGGCGGAGCCATACTAATCCGCGTTATTGGGGCCATCAAGAGCACACTGAACAGCAGAACGCCCCCTCCCCCCTCCCCTCCCTCCCCTCGGGGGCCTCGAGCCGGACCACCGCCTGCGAGGGACGGGGATAGACGATATAGACCTTTCCCTTGTCCCCCTCTCCCCTTCTCTCCTCCCCCCGGACTACTCGGCCGACCCCGCCCCGCCCGCCTCTCCCACGGAAATCAATTGCTGTTACTTGAGCCCACAACTCCACTTGAGCCGGGCGAGGCAGGCAGTAGTGTATACGCGTACATAGGCACGTTTCGCATGAGGGGCGAGGCGAGGAAGGGGAGCAGGGGGTGGAGATCCTAAGGGGAAAAGAGGGAGGAGGGGAGGGCGACGCGGGTTTACAATCACCCTTAATGAACAAATTCTGCCGACAGAGGCTGGGCCGTGGTGGGCCGCCGGCGCCATGGGGCCCGGCCGGCCAGCGCATCGATACTACGCCACGCCACGCCATCCGGCGGCGCCAACGACGCGATACCCCGCGCTCTGGAGCCTCCAGGATGACACGGGGATGGGGCCGAGGGGGCCGAGGCGGCCTGGGGTTGGCAAACTATTGACGCATGAACGGAAGAGGCCGGTGCTGGGGAGGGAGCACCATCCGGGACATTCCGGACCGTGGTGTGATTTATACAAGAGCCCCTCTCTCCGCACGTGTGTGTGTGTGTGTGTGTGTGTCGTACACGGGCAAACTTTGCAGAGCCCGAGAAAAACACGGCCGGAGCGCAGCGCAGCGCGGCAAAGCCGAGAAAACGAAGGGGAAGGAATAAAATGTATGCGAGTTGCAGAGAGGGGGGAGAGGGGTGGGTGGGGGGACGCGGACCAGTAATCGCCTTAATTCTTACTCCCCACTTTTTCGTTGTTTTATTTCAGACATCGCACAAGTCATTTGCGAAAACAAAGGGCAGCCCCCTTCCTCCCCTCTCGCCTCCACTGGCTACAGCTACACCCACACCCCCGCGCCCGCCTCTGCTTGCTATAGATCACCCTATTTCCCGAGTGGGCGGCAGCTTCAACAGAAAACTAAAACAAGAAGAAATAAAAAAAAAAACTCGAGGCAAATAGAAGGGCCGAAAGAAAATTAACGCGACACACCGAGAGGCGGGAAAAGAGAGCGAAACGGTCCTCCCCGCGCCCGGTCAGATTATTCCCTCAACTTTGGATCGCAAACAGTGCACTCCGTGCCCCCCCCCCTCCCCACCTCTAGCACCACAGGTTTAAACCCCCACTGGGTCACCCAGTTATGGGACCGCGAGCCATACGGGTCGAAGCACCGCCCATTCCGAACCCTATAAATGAAAATATGTCAGCTTGTGTGATACTGTAAAAGGGGCCATGAATAGTCAAAACGGTTTGGCAGAGGGGAACGACCACTCACTGCGAAATGAGAAGGTGGGAGACCGCCGCCGCCGCTGAGGGGGGGTCGGAATTATAGACATTTCATAAGAGTATTGAATGCAAAGTAAAGGTAATCACAGCCTCTAGAAGGGAACAAACATCTAGAGACAGACAACATTCCAAATGATACAGACATAAGTACGTCAAAGATAAGAATGATAACATTTCCCAAGACACCCGTTTAAAAAAAAAAAAAAAA